TTTTTGTTTCTTTGTTTTTTTGTTTTGTCTTTTTGAGACATGGGTCTCCCTGTGCAGTTCAGGCTGGCCTTGAGCTCACTTTATAGCCCAGGCTGGTCTTGAACCTCAACAATCCTCCTGCCTCAACCTCCTGAGTGCTGGGATTACAAGCATGCGCCACCACACCCGGCTCCAGCTTGCTTTTCAACCACACTGGGAAACCACACCTCATTTATCCAGCTGCAGGATACCACTGTACCTGCTTCCCAGCCCACATCTGTGCTCTTCTCCCTCTGAGCCTGTGCTCCTGCTGTGTCTCGCACCACAAAATCTTCTCCTGTGCACCCCAAGTGGCTACATGTGGCATCTCCTCACACTGTCCTTATCCTGCCAGCATTTGAGAAGGGATCTATTTCTGGAATGAGCACATGGCCCTGTGCTCTGCTGGGACATCATTTCCCCACTCTTGTGAGGCCAGGATGTGTCTGACCTACTTTCCCAGGCAGGGAGCTTATTCAGCAGAAGGCCCTGAGTGGATAGGTGCTGGAGAAACCATTGTGAATGACTACATGAATGATGCTGGGTAAAAGGCAGTGTTGGAGAAAGGATGAGACTAAGCCAACAATGGAGGCTTCATAGGTCTTGGAATAAAATGTAAGAGCACATGTAGAGGAACAACAGTGAACCTAAGGGCACAGTTAGATACTTTGTGATATTGAGTCAAGTTGTCACCCCAGTCTTTCAAGGGGCCAAAAGTTCTCCATTTGAGTTATAAATGTCTTGTGGGAATCTCACTTTTTTGTGACATATGACATTATTATATAGAAGAAACACATGCTAGGAAAACTCTAGAACATATGACCAGTATGTACAGATTCTAAGAGTTTGTATCTTTGATGTCTGTTGCAAAGCACATGCCACAACTAAAATGTTTTAACTGCATTGATTTGCTGACAACCCTCCAACACTGTTTGCAAGTGTTCAAGCAAATGTTAAAAGACTCAACATTTTCTAAGGAGTGCAAAATTAATGCTAGTTACTGGCAATGTCTTACTTGGCATTGGACACCTGGAACACTAGCAGAAATTTCACATTATTAATTGTAAGAGTTGGAGAAGCTACTTTGCAAAGGCACAGGGTAATATTTGCCTTATTTAACAATTTTGTCTCCTAAGAATAATCAGTGACATTTCTCACTGGGGTTATTTTCCTTGGCATACAGCATGACTCATGAACTCCCCAGAGCCATGGTCAAACTTAACAGCAAAGGAGAGTAGACAAATGTACTACCAGCCTCTATTTTGTGTCTTACATGCATTGCTTTCATCCTTCCACTGGAGCCAGGTCCTCCAATGGCCTCTTCACTCTCCAACATATTCTTAGGAAGGGTTTTGTACTTTCTTCAAACTGGAGTATAAGTGATTTAGATGTTAAAGGATTTTCCTATGTATTCTTGCATCAAAAAGTGATCAAAATCTTAAACTAGAGCTAAGGAAGCTCTAAGCCCAAATTGTAACCACAAGATGTAAGTAGGAGATGTGTTTTCCATATTCTATGAGAGTTCACCATCATTTCCATGCAAAGGAACAACCATGCAGTTCTTTTAAAACCCATTTCCTTATTGTTTCTTATTTTGTATTGAAGTAGCTTTTGTGTTGAAGTAGTTTCCATCTCCCTGGTTTCTCCCTTTATCTGGGCATCCTCAGCCCATCCAGCTGGTTCTTTTCTTGGAATTCACTGTATGTATTTATTGGGATTCTAGTTCCAAGGGACAAAGGTCTCATTCAAACCACCTTAAAAACATAAAGATTCATGTAACCAATGCACCAAATGAAATGGCTGAAATGTCTTCCTGGTTGACTAAGGCTTAACCACTATTAACACTGTCTTACAATCATATTCCTCCCTTCTGTCTGTTTCTATTGGCATTGGTCTCCTCATCTTCCATACTCCCCCATATTAAAGGACATAGTCTTATGTCCTAAAGGACATAGTTCTCCATTTGAGTGGGGAAAAATGGCAATGTTTCTTCAACTGTATCTCAAATCAAGTCAGAACAGTCTGAGGAAAGATGCTGATTGGCCAAGTCAGGTCACATGCACACTTATTAGATTTCCTCATGTGTCTAGGCAGATGTGATATGGAAATGGTTACGTCTTTAGCATTCCCTTCGGGGACCCATGCAGTGACATAATCACTTAGCTCTTTGAAATGCTCCTTCAGCTATAAAACAAGAGGAAAAAGATCTCCCTACTTTCTTTTTGCCCTTACTTATACTTTGGATAGAGATGGAGGGAGGGATGCAGAAAGGAAGGAAAAAGGGATTTAGAAACAAGTAGAAGAGAAAAAGTGGAAATAGAGCTTTTTCAAATGGGAAGGAGAAGAACTGGAGGGAGCAGGGAAAGAGGAGAGCAGAAGAGGACAAAAAAGAATTAAGATGTGTTGTGTACAGGTACAAACTCCCAATGATAAGTGTAATCATTGTGCACTAAAAATATGTACTGATATGAAAATTTTTAAAAACCAAGGGGAGAGTTCTAAAAGTTCTCAACTTTAACTAGCTTTTATATAAAAATTATTTGTTTTAGTATTCTGATCACTATATCTCTGTCTTTTTTACCTGCCTATGTTCCACCAGAAGGCCAGATAGCATTGGGAGATCCCAGTGACCTCTTCACCCCAACTCTGAGGCTCTCTGAATAGGGAAAGGGCCAAGCCTTGTGGTGCCCCTCATACAAGATGGTGAATTGTTACGGTTCAGCCTTGACCATGTCGGCTCACCATTATGTCACTATTTCTTTTTTTTTCTTTTTTTTTTTTTTTTTTTTTTCCGGTACAGGGAATCGAACTCATGACCTTGTGCTTGCCAGGCAGGCGCTCAGCCGCTGAGCTAAATCCCCAGCCCCATGTCACTATTTCAGAGTTTGCCAGGCATCGCAAATTTAGCATTTTCCTTGAGTTAAAAAAATAAAGAGCAGATCCAGCCCAAGGTCATCTGGAAATGTTTCTTTATGCCATGGTGCTGGGACATGAAATAATGCTTCTGCAATCAGCTCCAACTTAGATGTAACTCCAAGTTCATCTTGTGTGAGGGTGTTCCAGTTACCTATTTGTTCCACATCATTGAACATCCATTCTTTTCTAAAACCTGTGTCTTGGGGGCTGGGGATTTAGCTCAGCGGCAAAGCGCCTGCCTGGCAAGCGCAAGGTCGTGAGTTTGGTTCCCGGTACCGGAGAAAAACCAAAAAAAATAAAATAAAACCTGTGTCAGATGTTTTCTTCAGTGAAATGTCTCTCTGCCAACCAACTAAGCTCATCAGTCTCTGTTACAGTATTCCCATGCTTCTATTATAATGATCTTTGGCCACACATGAATCTCTCCTTAGGTCATTAGTTCACAGAAGACAAAGACTGTACTTTATTAATACTTGTTCAACACTAAGTCTGTGGTATATTCATCATACTGAACTACTTGGTCTCCTTGGACTCAACTAGATATGAATGAAGTATAGTCAAACACTGTTGTGAATGTTTAAATTTTAAAAATACATTACAGTAAAAGATACATTGCCATTAATTCTCCTCAAAAGATTCCTCTGGCTTCAAACACACCTATCCCATCATTCTTGTTATTTTGTGAAGCAGTTCTGGAAGTCCTCTCTCATGAGTTGTGCTATCGTGCCTTTCCTGATGTTCTGAATTAATTCACAACCTTCTCTATTCGTGGTCATTTTGATTTTAGTAGGGAGCTTGAACTCACACAGTACGAGATCCAGTGGATGAAGACACACCTCATGTTTTTATAAGCCTACCTTTCCATTGGATGGCGCCTGACACTTGTAAGGACACAAAAGAAGGCTTCCAGAACTGCTTGACAAAGTAACAATAAGTTTGGATTATGTGTGATAGAAGAAGGGAGGAGGAATATTTTGAGGGGGCTTAATGATGGTATTTTTCTTACTGTAATAAATTGTGTTGTAATTTAAACATTCACTGTATATTTTGATCATACCTTATATAGCAGAATATTTACAATCCTGAGCTCAAATCCCAGCTCAGCCACCTACCAACTAACTGTCAGCTTTTTAAACTAATGTCTTAACATTTCAAAGCCTCGGTTTCTTCACATATAAAGTGGAGGTGATGGCAATATCTACCTTAGAAATTTGAGTGGAAAATGAAAAAGATACCATAGCTTGCATGCCATAGTTCTGGGCACATGGGCAGCACCTTAAAAAGGGTAATGCTTTATTGTTCTCATCTACAATGGAGGGTGCAAAGAGCAGCTACAAGATCACAAGTCCCTTGGATGCCTCTCTGTGTCCTTTGGTCCTTTTTGCCTTGTGTATTTCAATGAAGATGAATCCTTATTAATACAAGCAATGATTAATTGCCTCCTTAGAGCTGGACCTGTCCTGAGGCGGAAAATTGCCATATTGTTTTTTCTTTGAGGTTTCTAGTGGGATGTCTGCTCTAACCTAATAAACCTCTTTCTTTAGTGCCTGACTCAGAGGCAAGACCACATGCACATTTCTGAATGCCTAATTTGCATGCACATATGGGGAAAGAGCTCTGGGAGATGTGGGTATCTGTATACATTCACTTGAACTGGTGCCAAAAAACTTCCTTAGTTAATGGTATCTCTGCAATTTTCTCCTGGAAAAAATAATGAATATGCGGGCTGCTAGCTATGGTTGGCCTTTGTGCATTTCTCCTCTGGAGTTTGCATTGTTGACAGTGTGATTTCAGCAGCAATCACATAATAAATGGGGCACTCCTCCACCCTGTGCTTCCCTCCCTTCCATTCCAGCTTAGTCCATTTCCTTTCTTGTGGCTCCCATCGCATGAAAAAGCAGAAGATGTACATAATGGATTCTACTCTTTGGAAAAAGACACTCAAGGTTTGGGCTGAGAGTTTGTGCAGTTGGGACTAAGGAGGCAGGGAGCTGTCAATGTGGAGAGACTTTTCTGATGGGAGAGGTCCATCCCCAGGAAAATGACAGTCCTCCTTCCACCCACAGGTCATCCAGGTGGTGAGGGAGCAGGTTATGAGGGCGCTGACAACCAAGCCTAGCTCCTTGGACCAGTTCAAGAGCAAACTGCAGAACCTGAGCTACACTGAGATTCTGAAAATCCGCCAGTCTGAGAGGATGAACCAGGAAGATTTCCAGTCTCGCCCAATTTTGTAAGTCACCTCCGTCTTTTTTTTAAAAAATGGTACTGAGGAGTTAAACACAGGGCCCTGTCACTGTGCTACATACCCAGCTCTTTTTTGGGGGGAGACAGGGTCAGATCAATTCACTAAGTTGCCCAGCCTGGGCTTGAATTTACAACCCTCCTGCCTCAGCTTCCTAGACTGCTACAGTTTCAGGAATGTGCGACCCACCAAAGTCTAATTCTCCCCTCCTCAAAGATTCTGACCCGCCATTTCTGGAGTGACCCCATGTACAAGCCAATGAGGTCCCCATGGGAGTGGCAATCTGGGCAGCTCCTCAGGGGCAGCCTGGGTAGGAAGGAGGAGGACCTGTGCTGACAAAGTAGATCTGAAGCAACAACTATGGGCCTGACTACTGATCGTTCACTAGAGGTGTGTGGCTGAAGAGTTCTGGACCTTTCCCAACACTTAGAACTATCCCATTTGCCAGTGAAACCATTTTTTACCTAGGTGCCCTTTGAGTGGTAAGAGGCTCTGACCTGCTGGAGTGAGGCCCACTGATCATTAGAGCAGTACGGCCCCCAAAGCAGCATGATGTGAGCGCAGTGAGCTTGCGAGGATGGGTAGTCTCACTAAGTGGCCCCAGCTGGACTAGAAATTTCAACCCTCCTGCATCAGCCTCCAAGAATGGTGGGATTACAGTGGTGGGCCTCCACCCCTGGCTCTCCTGTCTCCCTGGTAACTGTAAACCCCCAGGCTACCAGGAGGGAAGCAGAAGGCCCCCTTTTATAGGCCTTTGCACACAGTGTCACCTGCAGCATGTTCCAACTCTCATGTGTCTGCATCAAATGTTTTGAACCTCAAAGATGAGAACTATTTTTCTTGCTTCGTCTGTCCGTAGACCTGACCTGTGTGTTTTTCTTGTCATTTTCTCAGAGCTTAGTGAGTTTTCTTTCCCTTATATTACAGAGAAGAAATGGGGAAAGGGCGAGAAGTAGGAAAGGGGTTTGACATTTGTTCTCCTTCTGCCCTCAGAGGACTAGATGAAGCTTCTTTTGAACCTTTGTTCAAAGACAACTTGTGACATGGGTTATGAAGCCCATCTTCAACCTGCTCTCCTGCTGGTTATTTCTCGCTATTTCTCCCAGCTTTCTGTTATTTGTTCCCAGATATTTGGCACTCTTGATGCAATTTGCAGAGAACCCTCCGTACTCTTTCATTCCCTCACATCCTGGTGAGGTAAGCGAGGCTTGCTCCCAATCCAAGGCCGCATACTGTCTGGAGAGGCGAAGGCCTTGCAGTAAGAGCAGGAGCCTGAACTTGAACTTAAGTCTGCTAACCCCAGATGCTGCCCCAGCCACCACATTAGAGCCTCTTTGCCACCTGCAGGACTCAGTGAGGCTGAGAAAAAGACACAGGTGTGCAAGGACAGTAGTCCAATAGTGACATCTACCACCAGCTTGTTTTCAGCTCTTTAGAAGCAGCAGGAGAAACTGCAGAGAAGACTGCAGTGCGCATGAGTCAGGGGCTTCACACACTCAGGCAAGAAGCCCCAGGCAGCCCTAAGAGAGGCAAGGCTGGGCCACAGCCAGAAGCAGGAAACAGCCATGGCCCCCAAGGGGAACACACTTAGGATAAGTGGCAGGCTCCATGGAGATGCATTTTCTCACCTTCTAAGAGGGACGGTGCTGCCCACGCCATCCAGGGCCATATCCCTGAAAGGCTGGATTCCATTGCCTCCATTTCAGCACATGTGCAAACACAAGGACATTTTATTACACTTTTGGCAACTACTCTTAAAATCTAAAGGGACCCTTGAAGAATCACTTCAGTGGAGGCGGAGTGATTCTAAATTAATATCACTTCAGCTGAAGCCAAGGGTTCTCAGTTCATGTTTGACCATGACTTTTTTCCAGAGAACAGCATCAGCCCGCATTTTGCTGTGGCTCTGCCCTTCTGTCTTCCGCTTCCAAGGCACATTCGGAAATTTCCTTTCCCCTGCTTACGGGAAGGTCTTATCTTTCCATTTACTAGGTGAGGAGAAGCCGTGCTGATAGAAAGGAAGTCTGCTGGAGGGTGATAGCTGTGGCATCATTGCTTGGCCATGATCCTGGAGGACCCTGGCCAAACTGCAGTTCTTGCTGCCAACAGCTGCAGTGACAGCAGAAAGGTGCTAGAAGCTGCAGTGATCAAGTGGAAAGCCAGGGACCAGCTTGATTGTTTCCCAACCTCCAAACCAGCAGGCGGGAGTCTGGACGTGTTTTGTCTATTAAGAATAATCTACTGCCCAGTGATCTGTTGGGCTATTGCTTGATCAACTAGATAGAAACTCACTCTGGGGCTGGGTGAAATCTAAATGCTGCCAGTGTGGCTCATGTAATAAACCCAAGTTATCTAAGAGAAAAGGTAGATTATATGCTGGTTGTCACTCATTGATTCATTTAGAAAATATGTACTGAGCAACCCCTCATGTCAGTGCCTGCATACGGTGCTTAGAACAGGCAGAGACCCAGAGATGCTGTCCCAAGAGGCAGAGGGTAGTCACAGAAGGCTCAGGCTGGGTGCAGTTGGGTGTCCTAAGCTCACAGGAGATACCTATTCTAAGCATAGAGGCATTCTAGAGCTGAAAGCACCTTTTCATCCAGTCCAAGCCTGTCACTGCAGACAGGGTTCTGACCACCTGTGTATCCAGCCTCTCCACCTCTGTATCACTGTGCTCTTTCACAGTGTGCTGTACACACCACAAGGCAGACCCCAATAGCCACACATCTCACCTTCATAAAAATAGTTCTGTACCCTTGTGTGATGTCACACACCTCTAATCCCAGCACTGTAGTATGCTGAGGCAGGAAGACTGCAAGTTCAAGCAAAGCCTGGGCAACTTAGTGACTTCACAAGACCGTGTCTCAAAATAAAAAATCACAAAAGGGCTGGAGATTCAGCTCCATTTGAAGGCCCTGTATTTAATCCCCAGCACTGAGAAGAAACCCCAAAAGCAAGGAAAAGGGTTATGTTTTCTAAGAAGAAAAATGTAGCTGAGATTTATGAGGAAAAATGTGGAACTGGAAGAGATCATGTGGAGTGAAAGAAACCAGACACAGTAAAACAAGTATTGTATTGTTCTCTTATATGCAGAAACTATTTAAAAACCTGAATGAATAAGAGGGCCATTAGGGACTGGGGAGAGGGCTGGGTTTTAGGGAAAGATAAGGTGGGAGGGAGGGTGGACGTAATCCGTGCAGTGACTTGTACAACTAATACCATTCATTAAAAAACTGGAAAAAATGTACGTTGCATATGAAAACTGTACTGGGGGATATATAGTCAGTGGGTTGAAAAAGAAGCTCTGTTTTAGCTGTTACTTCTTATTTAATTATTTCAAAGAAGAGGTATTTTTTATTTCCTACTTAGTGTGAATTAACAGGGAAGACAAGCCCAGCCACACAATTCGTCCAAGTTTATGGACAGAAAAAGCTTGCACAGTCTCTAAACGAGCCACTTGACACTGAGTTGGAGGGAGGGGAGACCCAGTCACAAACATCAGTGAAGCAGGAAAGTCACATGTGTTGATACCTGGACCCAGAGAACTAACAGACCAACAGGGGCATATTTCAGCCATGCTGCCACTTGTAAATGTGTCTTTGTAGGCAAGTTTTAAGCCTGCTTTTCTCATTCCTAAAAAGAAAGATGATAAAAATGTCCCCAGCATTGGATTGCTAGGAGGATTCAACAGTGGTGTGAGTGTATGAAAAGTGTTTAACACATGCCCAGAACATAATATCCACTCAAAGAAATGATTACTCTTATTTAAAAAGACAAAGTTCAACAAGTTCTGGTACTGTTGATATGTGAATGGTAAAGCTGACCCTGAGAGTGTGGTTGTACATGCCTCACATTGTCTCAAAAAGCAGAGTTGAAGGACATGACCGTATTTGTTAGCCTTCTTGTCACTGGGACACGATATCTAATGCCCACCATTAAAGGAGGAAAGGTTTAATTTGGCTGATGGTTTCAAAGGATTCAGTCCATGGTTAGCTGGTCTCCAAAGCAGAAGCATGACAGGTGGACATGGTGGAGCACAACTACTTAGTTCATGGTGGTCAGGAAGCAGAGCAGGGAAAACAGTGCCAGAGAGGAAGGGTGAGGGACCAGACATAGACCCAAAGATCACACCTCCAGACACACTTAGAAGTGTGCTACACCAATCTCCCGAACAGATCTAAGTCAACAAGGTTGACTCTATGCATCTTACCCATCAAAATGAGAAAGAAATTAAAAACAAATAGATCCAAAATTAATATAAATACCCTTACAACTAATCTGCACCATCTCTAAAAACCAATCATGTGCTCCCCTCAAAGCATGCTTATAGCCAGTGCAATAGGACAGGTATACAATGGCCCATGTTCAAACACTTGACAAATATTTATTGAGTACTTGTCACACACCAACCACCATTCTATGTGTTGACCATTCAGTGATGAGAAGACAAATACAGTCTTTACCCCTCTGGTGATTAGATCTCAATGAAAGAAATAGACAACATATAGGATCAATAAGATGATTAGTATGTCAAGAGGGGATGACAGTATGTCTCACATCCACTGAAAACATGAAGCAGAGAAGGAAAATGGAAAGTCTAATTTTGAAGAATACTTAGAATACAACTCTCTAATTAGGATGGTGACATTAGAGTAAAAATGTGTAAGAGATTGAGGAAGAGGTCCCATAAGTACTGGGTAGAGGGTTTTCTGAGTGGAGAGAACCGTCCATGAAAAGGCCCTGGGGTCAGAACAGGTCTGAGTATGAACAGTAAGGAGGCCAGTGTGGCTGGGTCAGAGTAAGTAAGGAGCACAGCAATAGACGTAAGACCACTAGGGTATCTGGGAACTTGATTAGACAGGTCTTTGTTAGGAGCCATTGGCTGGTTTGGGGCAGAGGACTGACTAGATGTGCTGTATTAGGGAGGAACTATAAGGTAAGTTTGGAAGCTGGAAGTTCAGTTGGGAAGCTATTTTGGAGTGCTCACTGTTATACCATGGAACCCTTCATTTCAATAAACTAAGCAATAGATGATGATAAGTGACTATAGATTAGCTATATTTTGAAGATACAAGACAGTGCTGTTTCCTGATTCATTCTGTGTAGGTGTAAAAGAAAGAGGAGTTGAGGGTGAGCCCAAGGTCTGAAGCCTGTACAACCAAAGGACAGAGTGAGTAGAGTAGATTGGGACCAGGGATCAGGAGTTCAGCTCCCAACCTGTCAAGCTATGAGACATCCAAGTGGGCTGTGGACAGATGAATAGAGATCAGCAGAGAGGTCAAAGCTGGACATACAAATCTGGAAGCCGTCAGAATAAAGTTGGCCTTTAAAGCTATGAGTTTGGCATATAAAGAAGAGAAGAGAGACAAGAACTAAGCCCTGAATTGTTCCAAGACTGAGACAGAAACATATTAGTCTCCATGAAATGGACAATGAAGTCTCCACATAACCCTAGATTGGAGATGCACAAAGTGTGGCTCTTGGACCAATCTGTCCCCAACATGTTTTGTAAATAAAATTTTAGTAGAATGCAGCTATGCTCATGTGTCTGTTCACAAAGCCTAAAGAATCTACTTTCTATCATTTAAAGACATACCCATGACCTAATAACTGTTGAAACTCCAAAACCCTTTCTCCTGTGTTGCTCTCATCCTTGAATGCCATGTCTTCCTCTCTGCCCAGCTGCCTGGACTGAGCGTCAGGAGCAGTGATTTATTGTTACCTGGAACTGCTCAAGCAATTCGTCACCCTTCTCTTCTTTTAGTGAGGAGTTCATCGAAGCTGCAATTTACCAAGTTCATTTTACCAAAGCTGAGGGCTGATAATAAATAGTTGTAGTAATCTGAAACCTAAGATGAGATGCTAAGAGACTTGTGCTAGAAAAACTTTACAAATTTTTCCATGCTATAGTAGTAGGGCAGAATTTCCATATGATTCTTTATAGCTGTTCAGTTGAAACACTGTCAGATGATTGAAGTGTGAGCCCATTCACCAGCCCCAAAATATTTATCAATAGAGTACTAAACTGATGTATCAAATAACTAAATCCTTTTGTGGATTTCTTTTCCATCTTGCTCATGTATAAGTAGCAGCAGCTTGCACAAGGAAGACAAGTCCATACCCTATCTGTGAGCTGTTTCCCCACTTGAAAAATGGGGCATAATACTATTAATACCTACCCTCAGAAGTCTGACTGAGGGATCAGGGATTGCAGAGCAAAGTGGTATAAACTTAGGTAAATTTGCATATGTACAGCCAGGTCCATAGGATGTGTCATCAATCTTTAATGCCTCCCTCACCTGAGACTGGGGCACCAGGTGCAAGTTTATTGTCTGGGGTCCAATGTCAGGACAAGTGCGGAGTTAAAGCCAACACTGATGAAGATGTGACTTGACTGCTCACAGTGTGGTCATGTTTGGGTGGAGGAAGGGAGAGAATATCGCCAAAACAAATTCAATAATGCCTGATGTTCCTGCCCAGGGTTAAACAAAGATTTCTGTGCACATTATCTCTCCAGGAAAATCCCAGGAAAAATTCATATTCCCATTTTCCATATCAGAGAACTGAGACTTAGAAGAATGACTGCTATTGGGGCTCAACCTACAGTAGAACTTCTGACTTCTAGATCTGTGTTCTAGCCAGTACTTTCGGCACTGCTCTGTGAGCTGGGCTCAGTTTCCTTGTCCAGCTTCAAGCAGAACAACTCTGGCTTCACTAAATTTGACTAACAGAGTGCTACATAATCTTCTTTAAAATCTCTTCCAAATTAAAAGATTCAAAAGCCCTTGCTCTCCATCATGATATCTTTGCAGCATAGTGCATCTGAAATTAATTACATCATATTAACCTGAGACAAGATGCAAATAATTGTTAATTTATCCTGTCATTATCTCAGTCTGTATGGGTGAGAATCTGGGACAGCGTTGTGTGTCCCGTTTGTGAAAGAATAGAATAGGAAGCAAATAGTGGTCCCTTGGTTTCCCAAGAGGCAGTGCGCTGCAGAATAGCATGTTAGTTCTTCGTTGCTGTGACAAAATCCTTGATTTAAATCAATTTCAAGGAGGAAAAGTTTATTTTGGCTCATGGTTTTAGAGTTTTCAGTCCATGCTCCACTGGCTCCAAAGCAGGAACATCATGGTGGAAAGGTGTGGTGGCGGAAAGCTGCCCACCCCATGGTAGCCAGGAGCAGAGACCAGGGGAAAGGGCCAAGGGTAGGATATACCCTTCAAAACCACACCCCCAGTGACCTACCTCATCCAATTAGGTCCCACTGACCTACCGACTCTTTAGTGGGTTAATCCATTAACAAAGTTAGTGCCCTTGTGATCCAATCACATTTCTAGGTATTACCTCTGAATATTGCCACATTGTGGATCAAACCCTCAATACACGAGCCTTTGGGAAATATGTCATTTTCAAAGCATTCCTATAAATAGCAATCACATGGTTTCCCAATACTCCTGTTTGGTCAGATCGCAAATGTATTCTAGGTGTTCATTTGCTACAGTGGAAAAAAAATTGGGGGGCCGAGGATTTATTATCTTGGACATTTATATAAGTTCTAAGTATGCCTGTATATAGCAAGAGAAAAGCTATCAGGGTACTTTATTCTAGAAAAATGCCACTAAAGTAGTTGGTGCTTTTGTGGCTATTCTGTAAATGTCAGAGAATTGGTTGCATTACAGTGACAGACAACCCTGGCCACTGGCCCATAATAAACAATTCTCTAAAGCACCAAATTGGGAGCCCCTGGGATGCTCATGAATGGATGTGGCACACACTCCACTCCCCACATGCCCACGATGCTACCAACCATGTGCTGCTTCTCCAGGCACACTGTGAAATGTGTGTGTCCTCCACCAGGGAACTGAAGGAGAAGATCCAGCCAGAGATTTTGGAGCTGATCAAGCAACAACGCCTGAATCGCCTTGTGGAAGGGACCTGCTTTCGGAAACTCAATGCCAGGCGGAGGCAAGGTATGTGTGAGGACACTCTGTACTGAGGTAGTATCAATAGCAGATGCTTCTGGGGAATCACCAGGGCCTGGTGTTGGTGAAAGGGTAGGCTATTCATCAGGAATAGCTGAGCATAGGAATAGCAGTCCAGGTCAGTTCTGGTTCCTGTTTATGCTCAGGGAAAAGGGAAACCAAAGTCTAGATTTACCAGAGGATCCACAGAGTGAGCTGAAGAGCCATTCGTTCTTTGTCTAGTAACATAAGGCTGCAGTGGTGATATCAACATCAGCTAATGTGTACTGTGAGCTGCAGTGGTGATATCAACATCAGCTAATGTGTACCATGTGCTTTGTCCCTCTCTAAACATGTTATTTAGTCATGTGCTACATTCCAATGTTTTGGTGAGCAATGGGCCACACAGACAATGGTGGTCCCACAGGATTCTATCGTCTAGTTAAATTATTCTTAGTTTATATGTAAGTATAGTCTGTAATGTTCACCCAACAGCAACATCACCAAACAACATATTTCACAGATACCCCTGTTGTTAAGCAGTGCATAGTACTTGGTCCTCACAATACCCTGTGAAATAGTGATTTGCTTATGCCATGTTTATAGATGTGTTTGTGAGCTTTTGTTGCTGTGATCCAATATCTTAAAATAACTAAAAGGAGAAAAGATTTATTTTGGCTCATGGCTTTAGAAGTTTCAGTCCATGGTTAGCTGGCTTCAAGGCAGAAACACCATGGGGAAGGGTGTGGTGGAGGAAAGCTGTCCATCTCATGGCAGCCAAGAAGCAGATAGAGCAAGGAAAAGACAGAGAGCTAGAGTGGAGTGGGGCAGGGAAAGATACAGTCCCTAAGGTCATATCACTATGACCCATTTTCTTCTATTGGGCCCCACCTCCAAAGTTTTCATCACCTCCAAATAATGCCATCAAATTATGCTCTTGGACTGGGGATACAAGTCAGTGGCACAAGCTACTGCCTGGCAAGTGTAAGGTCCTGAGTTTGATTCCTGGTACCAAAAAAAAAAAAAAAAAAAAATTATGCCCTTGTCAGTGGATTAACCCACTGATGACGTTAATCATTACGACCTAGTCACCTTGTGAAAGACCCACTTCTGGACATATGAAGCTTGGGGTGGGGAGTATTTTTGATCTATGCCAGAACAATAGGTAAGGAGACAGGTGCTTAGGGTTAAGTAATCTGCCTAAAGTCACAGAAGAGCAAGAACTATTCCTCCACAGCTCCATGGCCCTTCCGTTTCATGACTTTCTGTGGTGTTAGGTGAGCTGGCGTCTCCTATGTAGGATTGAATCTGGGAGGTCCCAGCATGGATGGCTCTTATTCTCCAGTTCCCTAACAGATTCTCTTCTAGGCCAGTTATTTTATTTGGGGGATATAAATAACAGTGAGTTAAGGTGAGGTAGAATCAGCCTTTATGATTTTTAACGCAGATTTCTGAACTATCTCTATGTTTTCTAACCTGAAGGTGTCAAACCAAAATGGTGCCCACTGACCAGATCCAATAGGTGGGAAGCATTTCCAGCTGTTTCTTTGCCTGAATTGTTTCCTAGCTCTCTTGACACATCAGTGATTGCACACAGTTTTCATGTCATGCTGTGCTAGAAACAACAGCCCAACAATAAAACTGAATAATAAGGTTTGGGGAGAAGTGAAGAGATTGAGGGAGAGATAGGAATAAGCACAGACCCTAACAACCTTAACAAGAGCAAACATCACTTATGGCCTCAGAGGAAAGTCTGGTAGACATTGTTAAAACCACAGACACACAGCTCATCCACAAATAACAATAGTTATTTTGAGTTTGTGCTGAGCCTATCTCCCTGGCTATTTACTTGTACTGCTTTGTACAGAGTATTCAGTAAATTTGAACTATTTCAAGGTTGCCATTGAAAATCATACTGAGGAACTCCCAAAGGTAGAATTTACTGGAGGAAAAAGTGTATAGGTTGTTCACAGAGGATGGAAGCCTGACTGTGAGCTTTGTGCTGGGCCTTAGGAAAGGGTAAGGGGCAGAATTGAGCAGAGTATGGAAGGAGGGCCCATCTCTCCCTCTGAGCCACTGAAGATAAGCCCACCTGCTCCTTGCTCGTGGTTTTCCTGACATCAGCCATCATGTCAGCATAAGTGGCACTCCAACGTGACAATGTGGCACAGTGACAAGGACAGGAACCCTGGAGCCAGTTAGTGTGGCTTCTCCTAACTCCATCCAACTGTGTGAACTCACGCAATCCCACCTCCTATGGTTATTGGGAGGAAGAAAGGCAATCATGAATGTACCTCTTAGAAAACAACACAAAAGTTAACTACTGCTAGTTTGGAGATTGTATAGGAAAAAAATTAGCGAGCTGAGAGCAGATGAGCTTGGTTCTAAGCCTCTCTGCTCTGTAATTACCCACCAGGGTGGCGTTAGGCAGAGCATGCGACCATTCAATGCCACAAGTCCCAATCTGAAAAAATGGGATATATGCACTAAAAGACTGGAAAGCCCAGTTATCCAGACAGTTCTGTGTTCAGTTATTTGTTGCTTTTTAAAAATCAGCATTCAGGAGATATAGCCCTCATCTGGATAATTTATAAAGTCTTCATTTACTTGGCACTGGGCAAAGGGCACAGATGGGAGATAGCAAATAAACATATAGCACCAAATACCTCCACTGATGCTAAAATCCTAATTTCTAAAGCTAAATTAAACCTTCCAGTGTACTTCACTATAAGACTTCCCTCTCTAGCCTGAAAGAGGCAGGTTCTACCAGAATAATCCTGTTTCTTGATATAACTATTACAATTTGTTGTTGTTGTTGTTAAAAATGTATTCATCGCTTATCTGCAGGTTTTTCCAACTTCCTAAAAATGAATTACTTAATGAATTAAAAAATTAGCATCCAGATGATAAGTTTATTAGTTGAGCTCCCCAGGGAGCATGGCCATCTGTATTTAACACAAGATCATCCTGCATGCAGAAAGAAAGGCTGTCGGTGTTTGTAAGTGAATTTGATATCTACTGACTGGTATGTGCTTAAAAGTAGGGATTCAAAGCAGACTGCACTGAAATTGGTTTCCTATCACCCCATCAAAACATTGCACTTAGATTTACACTGATTAACAAGAATGTGATACGAAATCAATTTTAATCTCATTAAGAAAGACTGATTTCCACAGCAGAATGAAGACTGGGATGGATACCTGCCTTCCAGGACCATTGTGGGGTAAAGAAAAGGTCCCCCTGGGAAGAAGCCACAGCTATGCTCCCTTTAAACTTGTCCAGCAGCGAGAAAGATGCAGATGCATGGATTCTAATGACTAATTTCATGGGGAAAATATGAATGAGCCTGCAGTCCCACAGAGGTGGGAAGTGGAGGAACAGGCACCAAGTGCTCCCCTGGGCCATGTTTGGCCCCAAGGCCACTGTGTGGTCCTTGCCTTTCCTTCTACCTGTCTCTTTCATAGCTCTGCTGCCTGGATAGTTGGGTGTGAACACATTTGAGCTTCTGGGCGTGCTGGCCACAGGAGAGCTAGCAAGCAGCAAAATATGTCAGACAACAATCTGGGGTGGAGTCCCTGCCTCCCCATTCATAAGCTGGGTAGCCTTGGGCAATCTACTGCACTTCTGTGGGCGTCCTTCCTCTTCGGTCAAATATAGATGATGGCAGTTCCTACATCCAGTAGTTGCAAGGGTTAAGTAAAGTCACACATCTTTAGCACTGAGTATGGTGCTCCCTCAGTTCATTGACCAGATATTACAAATGATATTCTTTAGTTTGTCGTTCCTTGCAATAAAGCTTTTCAATTACAGGAAGCAGAGTTGCATTGGGTGTCACATCCCTGTTCCCCCAGTCTGTTCTCACCACACAGTAGAGACTCTGCCTGCTGCTCTGTTCCCTGGACTCCTGCAGGGGACAGTGAAGATGAAATCTCAGAGGTTTTCTGTGCTAAGGTCACCGTTTGCTGCAGGAGAAAGTGTAGTCTCAAGAACTGCCTTCTGTTTTCTAGATTTTGGAAATTAAGGTCTTTCAGAATCTCTTGCATTAAAGAGAAGTTTCTTTTTGATTCTCTTGTTTGCACTGCTGGAGATGAAACCCAGGGCCTCATACCTGCAAAGCAAGCACTCTACCACTGAGCTGTGCCCCAGGTTCCAGCACTGGGACTTCAGTCTTTGTAAAGCCCAGGGCTAAACACTGAAGAGTTATTTCAAGAATCGATAGCATAAGCATTTGAATCTATTGAGGAAACTGAAACTGTCCAAAATTATCTTGGACTTGAACCGTGGACAATGCTTATGCCCCCTTACTCTTTTTGTAATAGAAATTGTTCCTCAGTTCCCTACCTTACACTGCTTCTGTGGCCCAGTCAGAATCCTTGAGCTAAGTGGGACTGTCAGCACAGGAATCATACAAACCATTTGGAGGAGCATCCTGTTTCTTCCATTACCTTTGATGGAATTTTTCTTTTAAAATTTCATTAAACCTAAGCATAAGTCATTTTAACAAAATGTCAGGTATAAATACATGCATATTTTTCAAGTGAAGGAAAAGCTAGCTCATTTTCAGGGAGAAGACTTTCCAATAGATCAAAACAACAGATAATCACTGTTCCCAAAACGTGGAAGGGCTACTCGTGGGAACATGAGGGGTCTCTATGGACCTAGAAGGCAGAAAGTCATGAATACTTGTCAAGAATTAGCCCTATGGAAGAGGCGTGATGGATACGTTATATATATTTTGTCTGTGTATTTACCATTGCTTCATAAATGAAGAACAAGAGTCTTTAAAGCTTTATAATTTGGCCGAGGCCCCATGGCTATTGGGCATCCAGTCTGGTGACTCCAATGTTTCTGTGAAGCCAGATCATCTCTGAGAGCACCTGGGGCTCTGGACTATGAACTGTGACAGGAGACTACTGGCTCCAGGAGGCAGAATACTGAACCAACACACAGGTTCTGAACAGCATGCTGGAGGTGAGAACGATGTTAAAGGCAGAATGACCTTCATCTGCACCTTTAGCTCTTGCCTCCGTTCACTAGATAAACGGAGCAATTGTGGATCTTATTACCTGGAAGAGGGCATTTCCCTTTCAAGGCATTCCTGGGTCCCTTTTCTTTTGTAACTTGGGAAGTTTCTATTTCAGGCAGGAAGAGGACCTTCTACTAAACACATTGAAGTTTTGGCATATTTTAGGTTGGCTTAAGGACAATACAAAATCCTAATGAAAATAGTTGAAGGACGTAGTGGAGATAAAGCTTTCCTGACTCCCTAACATGGACTCTCAGGTCTTCTGGGTCATAAGCCAGCTGCTGACAACAGACTCTACCTGACAGAGATGCTCCCTGCTTCTACCAAAGAGTTGTTCACAACTGAATTCTGGTGCCCTTTGCTTCATGGAATAACCAACATCACCCACGGCAACTACTACTCAGCTGGCCAGTCTGCCTGTGACCAAGTGAATTAAAAAGAAAGGAAACTGGAAATTTGTTTCCTTACTTTTGGATAAAGCAGTTATAGAGTACTTCTGTCATCACAGAAAGATCGGTTGAACAACACTGCAGGAATCCCAGTGTCCAGTAGTTATTAGCTCTGTGATAATCTATGTGACAGCAGGAATAGCTTTGATCAGCCCTTCTTCCAGGGCTTGTGAGTCTGATACCAGCTTTTTCCCTCTGATATTCTCTCTCTCTGTCTCACTCTCATTCTCTCTTGTGCACAAGAACTCTCTCCCTCTCTCTCTCTCATGCACACACACACACACACACACAAAGAAGAAGAAGATTGACACACAAAATTGTCTCCATAGTTTTGAGTTTAGGGATAAAGAGATAGCTATTAATGTACTTCCGTCCATAATTGACTAGAAGACCTCCATATTAACTCTTATTTTCTCTTTAAATGCCAGCAAACAATTCTTGTTAATGTTCTTCTGGCTTCCTGCTAATTGCTTTTAGTGATGAAATCTATTCTTCCATTGCCCAGAGGGACTGAGGAACCAGTAACATCATGCTGAGTTTTTAAAGGAAAATACACAGTGTATTTACCATAAAAGAAACTGCAAATCAAGCTGCTGCTGATGGCAGATGCTGAAATCATCAGCACCAATGTGTCAGCGTGCTGTGCGGGGTAGCTGGTGCTCAACACTCTCTTACTCAAGGCAGTTCTACCTATGAGAGAGAGCTACACAAGTGATGGTGCCTCCAGATGTTCCAAAGCTGCAGACTCCAGCTTCCTTCTGCAGGAAGACACCACCTGGGCAGTGCCCATTTCGTTATGAGTCTAGGCAACTGCTCAGGATTTTCAGTCTTTCCTATGTTTTTTCATCCCTCTAAGACTTGCTCTTTGATGAGAAAGAACTAGGCACATCACTTACACAAATGATGCCCAGGTCTCTTTGCACTTAACTATTCTGGGAGTAGACAGAACGTGGACAGAATAACGGAAGAACTGGCCAGAAAGATAAGGAAAAGAAGAGAAGGGTGGTGTCATATGAATCAAGGAAATGCAAGCTTCAAGAAGAAGAAAATGCTGTCAGCAGTACACCAGTTACCACAGAATCCCAGGCAGCCTTTATGTTTCTTTTATTAAAACATCCATGACAGCTTTGCAAGGAAGGTGATTGTTTGCCTCCTGGAACCCTGATAAATAGCCTGTGTTCTCTAATAGTTGGTGGAAGCAAGAAGATGTTGCCTAAGAAACCTGCACTAATCCTGTTTCCGTGCTGCCTGAGTTTCTGATTGCTCTCTGTCAGGTCTGGGACACAAGTGTGTCCACCATTTCTCGGCTGCCTGTAAGAACTGAGAACAGCCCTCTACCCTGGGTTTTGTTTCCGTTTTATCTCTCGAGTCTCCATTCATTCCAGGGATCACTCACTGTACCCAGCAGAGCACTGTGCATTGCATATGCACTGCAAATATTGGGTAAATAAATTTACCTATGAGAAAATACAAGCAGCAGAATATTACAAAGTCTCATGAACGGTGACATCTTATAAATGAATATAAGTTGTGCAATGTACTTCGTATTTTATCTGTTTATATTGAATTGTGTACAAGTTAAATGTCTTAATGCCTCCTCCCAAAATATACTGAGTATACGTGATTTTTGTTGGTTGTGCCATATGGAGCCCTTAGCTTCAAGTTCTACCACCAAGCCCTTGTGTTTACACCAGCTTGAGAAGGAGGAAGTCCTATAAAGAGCAGACTGAGACCTTCCTCCATATAAGATCAGCATGTCCAGACTTCCTTCCCAGCTATCACCCATCACTCACTTAGCCCAAAATCCCACCTCAAAGGTAGCAAAAGAAGGAAAGCCTGAGTATGGTCATCATGGGCTGTGTAGACTAATGGGAATGGGAGTTCCTTCTAGGAAGAGAAAGCCTTCCTGGGCACTGGTCTGAACTCATGGTGTCCTCCTCTGCAATTCACAGTTCCTACTGTGAATTCTAAGTCAAATTCCCAAATGCATCTCCTGATGGGAAAGCAGTCGTTGCACACTGGCCTAATTAAAATGGCTGTGAATAACGCTGGGAATAACTTTCCCTTCTCCATTTGAAGTAACTTTCCTTTCTCCTTTTCCAGAAAAATGACCTATGTTTGGTGTATGTATAATGCCAGTTTGAAGATGTAGCAACTCCTCATGTCTCCTTAGCCATCAGATGACCTTTAACTCCCCTTAAGTTTTTGCACTTAAGTTCCGATTCCTTTCCATATATGGTTTGCCATCTTCTGACGGCACTCAGAAACTCTCAGGCCCTACTTAAGGCCCTGGAAGACACGAATCACAAAGGCACCTCCCTTTTCTGGGTCAGCTTTGGGCATTCTCTTTGTTCATTGTGTGGCTTTTACTTCCATTTTTAAAATTCTTTTTGTCTCTTAAAAGGATTATAGTTAAAACATGATTTTGCAATGAAAGCAATTTTAAATAGAAGACCACTTTTCTTCAAATGTAATGGGGAGCTTTGTAGTCAGAGTGGCTTTGAAACAATTTGGCATTACAGGCACAGTAAGAAGTGGCTTGACCAAGACCATGGAGGGAGCCCTGCGTAGGTATGAAGAGCCTGCACGTAATGGGTGCTCTGAGCCTTCAGTCTTTTAACAGTGTCTCTTTGGGTCTTCATTTATGGAATCAGCCAAGACCACCTGTGCAGCTTTGATGGGCCGTGCACAGCACCAGGGGATGGGGACATTGCAATTTGAAGACAGTGGCTGTCATCAGAGATGCTCTGTCTTCTCCATATTGTCAGTGCTGATGAGTATCCTGGAGTCCTCTTCTCCTGTCAGTAACTGGGCAAGCTGCTTTCCTCAGGCCACTACAGATAAAGAGGAATACTCAGGTGGTGAGCGTGTGGGCATCCCAAGCTGTGTTTGTGATACAACAAGGGCACTCAGAGAGGAGGGAAAGGCCTCTCTCCTGCAGAAATCAAAGGGGCATCCTGGAGGAGGTAGCATCTAGACTAAGCTCTAGAGCCACACGAAGCACAAACATTACTGTCACCATCCAAGTTTCTTGTCCATGCATCTACACGTCAATAAAAAGTACTCTTAGCCTACTGCTCCTTGCCCCTTGGCCTCATTCACGTTTTCTTATTGCATTTTGCAACTAAGGAGGTAAAAATTGAGGGAATTATTTATAAAGATAACCCCAGGGCCTTGGTCACGCCCATTCAGAGAACTACACTTGAGGAATTAGGAGAATGATTGCACATATCTGCATTCCTTCACTAAATTCCTGATGATGCAGATGATCCCCGGGTGAACCCCACCCTCATGGGTATCACTACTCTCCCAGCAAGCATTCATTGATCATTTGTGTGCTTCAGTGGCAGGGCTGGGGAATGGTGTGTCAGCTAAGTCCCACCTTGTACACAACCACCTAAGCACTCTGAAAAGCCAGGGAAAAGTGGAAGTAATAAGTCCTAAGCATGCTGTTTCTTCATCTTTCTTCCTGCTTTTACAGACCCAAGTAGATCAGGAATTGTCCTTTGGTGGTAAAATTCCCTCTGGAAGCCATCACCTAAGAAAATCTTTTGCCATTGACCTTGAACGGTTGGTGACTTTCCTAATGGTCACTAAATGTATGCCAAGCAGTACAAGTAACATCTAAGTAACCAAATCAGAAGGGAGCTTCCTGCCCAAGGTGCTAGAATCCATTCTTTCTCAAGGCTTAAAATCACATGAATTGTTCTGCTCCTCCAGGCAAAAAGTATTAGAAAATAACCATGCCCATATTTTTGGAAACCGGAATCACTTACCTTGTAAACTTGTGCTTTTCTCCTTAGACAAGTTTTGGTATTGTCGGCTTTCACCAAATCACAAGGTCCTACATTATGGAGACTTGGAAGAAAGCCCTCAGGGAGAGGTGCCCCACGATTCCCTGCAGGACAAACGTAAGTGTCTCTCTTGGGTAGGACACCTGAGCTTGGGTTCATTGGTTGTTTTTTTGTCACAATATAACATGCAGGCAAACTACCAGCCCAAGTCAGCCTTTGGAACTTGGCTTATTTTGTGGTATATTTCAGCCTGAGCATTCTCAGCAAGTGTGAGACCCTGTTGGGTTTGACATTTGGGACTGAACAGAGGTTTAAATGTCTACTTTTCTTTTTCTTTTTTTTATTTTAAAAAGAATTTTAAAATTTAAAAAAAAAATCAAAAATTATACAGAATTTCAAAACAAGATGATAGATAGGAAATCAACAATGGCTGTTATATTGCATTTGTCTCCTTTTGACATTACTTATCCAGATGCTACTTCAAGGAACCAGAACAACATAAATGCAGTTTTGTCAGTTGCCTTTTTCTTATGACCCTAAAATAATTTCACATAACTTAGATACTTGGCCTTTACCCTGTGTTCTCATGATGGTTTAATGTGTCCCATACTGGCAATGCAGCGTTAATGCCAGATCCAAATAGGGAACTTATTCAAAAGAAGTAACTGATGCTTTGAAAATTTTATGATGAATGACATTCTACTATTTGCTAACTATTCCCCAAATATTTATTTACATTTATTTGAGTTTTTATGTTGTCTGCTTTAACATGCATGCTTTTAAAGAGGCAGGAATCCGCAGTTTTTATAGTGCAATACCAAACCATGTGACAGATGCCAAATTCAGGGTTAAGTGTATAAATTAAACAAGGCATCATAGAAGCACTGAAATTCTCAGGGGTGATGAATTGATTTCAAAGAGAAATGAGATAAAGGAAAGGCAGCCTCAGGGGATATGCCAGGGAAAGAAATCAAAGAGAGGGCAGTCTGGACACTTTGAAATGACCTTTAAAAGTCAGGTTGACCCTGCAGTGTGCAGATAAGTGTGTCCTAGAGAGACCCCACCCCCATCTCACTCCTTCCCCTTGTTGCCCCAGGGCCCATAGAAGTCAAATTTGAACTGTTTTCCTTATAGCTTATGGCCACTGAAGGCAAAAATAAACCACGAGTGGGAAACTGTGTGACACTTTCAGATTCTGTGCTGTCATCTCAGACATGCAGCCAGGAACATTCTCTCTTCCTGCAGCTCAAAAATGGGACAATCTGGTCTCCATAGTGTCAGGTACTTCATTTCCTTCCATGGCAGAAGTCCATCCCCAGTCCACACAACTGCCATTCTAAGACAGGAAGAAGAAATCTGAAGTCCTCTTTGGCAGAGCTGGGCTGTGACCCTGCATCCATGCTGTGGGTCTTGGGCTTGTCCCTGGATGCAAGGACCCTCTGTTCAGAGTTCTGAAAGCCAGCAGGTGGTTCTCTAAGTGTGATCCCCAAAACCCATCAGGCAGTGTCCCCTGAGAACTTCTTAGAAAAGCAAATTCTTAGGCCCCAACCCCAGACCTGCTGAATCAGAGACTTGGTGAGGAGATGGAAAACTTTTGTCTTCACAGACCCTCCAGGTAACTCTGATGCCTCCTCTAGTTTGAGACTGACTAAGCTAGATATTCTCTATGCTTCACATAGTGATTCCCCAAGTCCAGTTTTCAGCAATAAGTACATGAAGTGAGCTGAAAGTTCACTGCTGCTTTTAATTTTGGCAAGAAAGGAATGTTGCAGCATAAAACCTAACTAAAATTTAATATCACAATTTTTCATAAAAGAAAGAGCTCTTGATCACAAAGGTAAGAAAGTGGAATAAAGCCAGTCCATTCTGCTGAATTAAATTAGCTTTATGAAAGACTCACACCAGTTGTCCTCATTTTGTCCACTAGCTGTTAATGGATGAAAACCCACTTGAACTGTCTGGGCCAACAATTTGGATTCACTGTTCTATCACAGTTAAATAAAAAGAGTTAGAAGGGGCTGGGGATTTAGCTCAGCGGCAAAGCGCCTGCCTGGCAAGCGCAA